TACTTATATCTATGAAGAATTATCTTGGGAAACCTAGTTCTTTAGAGCTCCAGAATGAAACAGCAGATTTTTAAAATTACAGGTCCTAACAATGTGTTAGGATCTCTGGTAGCATAGTGTCTAAGGCACTTGATTGCTAACCAGAAGGCTGGCGGTTCAAACCCAACAGCCACTCCTCGGAAAGAAGGTCGGGCAATCTACTTCCATAGTGATACTGCCTCAGCAACCCAAGGAGGGATCGCTATGAGTGGGAGCTGACTCAACGGCATAAAACAACAACAACAACAACAACAACAATGTGTTAGTATTAGAAAGTATTACCATCTAATAATAGGGTGGGATGTATCTCTCATGTTTAAAAACCAAAAACCAAACACATTGCCATTGAGTCGGATCCGACTCGTAGCGACCCCTCCTTGGGTTCCCGAGGCAGTATCACTACGGAAGTAGATTGCCCAATCTTCCTTCCGAGGAGTGGCTGTAGGATTTGAACCACCAGCCTTCTTGTTAGCAGTCAAATGCCTTAGGCACTGTTGTTGTTGTTGTTATGTGCCGGCGAGTCAGCCCCGACTCATAGCGACCCCTCTTGGGTTTCCAAGGCAGTATCACTACGGAAGTAGGATTGCCCAACCTTCCTTCCGAGGAGTGGCTGGTGCCTTAGGCACTAAGCCACCAGAATTATCATAGTAATTTCAATCAAACCACCTATGATACTTATATATCAATTTAGGGAGGTATCCAGTAACCAGAGTTCCTGGGTGGTGCAAACCAACAGTTAATGCACTTGACTGCTTATGAAAAGGTTAAAGGCTCAAGTTCAACTAGAGGCACCTTAGAAGAAAGCCTAGCAAACTACTTGTGAAAAATCAGCCACTGAAAACTATGGAGCACAGTTTTTCTCTGACACTCATGGGGTCACCATGGGTCACAATGTACTTGAAAGCAACTATTTTGGTTTGTTTGTTTGTTTTTCGGTTATCTGGCATCCAACCTGCCTTCCTCCTTTTAGGGAATTCCTTTTGAATTAGTTCTTAGAAGAGCATGTGATGCAGGTATGGCCAATCAGATGACCCATCTAGAGTGAGGCCAAGAAAGGACAGACTGAATTCATTTGGTGTCGTGGTTGTGATGGTGTCCAGTAGCAATGGTGGTCATGGCCAGTGGCAGTGAAATGGTGTCCCAGTTAGACTCCTACAAGCTTTCTAGGCCATCTGGAGCTGCTCTATTCTTTGCCCATTTTATAGGGTTGATTGTCTCTGGTCTCAGGCTAATTCTAGGAGACCAAACATCCTTTCAATAAATTGCCCTTTTCTGCTTAAGAGGACTGAGTTTTTAGTTTCACCAAAAGAACATCAACTAATGTGTCACTCATGTTACCTCCTGTGTTATTTCCACATTCTATGAGCAATGTTTATAGATTAAACTAGTTTTCATTCAAAGAAATAAACCAAGATGAAAAGGATATTGTTAGTATTGCCATTGGTGTTGTATTAAGAAGGACTTTTTAGAAAATTTACAATCACTATTAAGTGCAAAATAAACAGTGTAGCTGTACAAATAAAAAATTTCACTTGCACAAAGGTTATTTCAACCCACAAAAAGAGAAGAACATAAAGAGAACATATTTCAAATTTTTAATGGTATTTCAAATTTTTAATGGTATTTCAAACTTGCCCTTTTGGTTTCCATTTCAAAACCATTCCTTTCTCTCTGAAAGATCTCTTTCTTCTAAATTTAAAAGCTTTGTTCTCTGTTATCCTCAATTAATGCTATCATGGTTACTGGTGTTATCTCTCTTCAAAACACATGAACTAATACTGATCCAAAGCCACTCAGAGAATGGCCTTTTGCATCGTTAATACAGTGCTACCAGAGTCTGTACAAGTAGGGATGGTTTTGAAAGATAAAATAAGTATCACCTCAAATGATTACTTCAAAATATTTAAGGAGACAACAGCAACTGGGAGTCATGGAGAGGTGTGACTGATGTTTTACTTTTTCCCTTCCTCTCAGTTTTCTTGCACTCGCTAGATTAAAAAACTTGCTCACAGAAAAACAGCCTTGTGAGGATTTCTCTTTGAAGGGGTAATTTTAGGTTTTCCTAACTCCCCAGCAAAGATATTTTTCTCTAAACAGAAGAAGCCTCATTTTGTACATCTGCCTATCTCCTGGTTATATATTAAGGAGTTCTAGTGGTGTGGTGCCTAAGGCATTTGACTGCTAACCAGAAGATTGGGGGTTCAAACAATTTCCTGGTATATATTAGCATCACAGAAACACTAGTTGGGTGCCATTTTGTTTTCTTCTGATTATTCAGAAAAACAAAAATCTACAATCATAATATAAGGTGAAAGGCTGAATATTCTCTCATAGAATATTTTAATATTTTATAACCTACATAAGCTCAGGCACTTATAGAAGTGCCATACTATGCATAACACAAGTTCTGGGATTAAAAAAAAACTCACTCTAATTGGGTATAGTTTCATACCACGGTACCAACAAGCTCTATCCAAAACCCAAAAGCAAACCAGACATTTAACCACTTTCCCGACAGGAGTTGAAATCACCAAGAACAGAACAACCTTAGATTTTTATGCTCAAATCCAGAGAGATCACATTTACTACCTGAAAGTCAATTCTCCTTTATGAAAATTCAGAGGTAATTAGGATTTTTCACAGTACTAATTATTATAACATTGAGAACCAGTGGCACAATGGTTAAGTGCTCAGTTGCTAGCTGAACGATTGGCAGTTCCAATCTACACAGCAGCTTTGTGGAAGAAAGACTTGGCAATCTGCTTCCATAAAGATGACAGCCTGGAAAACCCTATGCTGCAGTTCTATTTTCTATTACATGGGGAAACTATGAGACACAAATTTACTCAACACTACCTCACAACAACAACTAACCTAAAGTTTAGAGAAGGAGCTCTGGTAGCACAGTGCCCAAGGCACTTGACTGCTAACCAGAATGCTGGTGTTCAAACCCACCAGCCACTCCTCGGAAGGAAGGTTGGGCAATCTACTTCCATAGTGATACTGCCTCAGAAACCCAAGGAGGGGTCGCTATGAGTCGGGTCCGACTCGACAGCATATAACAACAACAAGAACAAAGTTTAGAGATTCTAACCCATTCAGTGGCACTGCAGAAGAAAGGCCTATCAAACTGTTTCCATAAAGATTACAGGCAAGAAAATTCTATAGAACAGTTCTACTCTGTAGTGTAGTGCCGAAGGCATTTGACTGCCAACCAGAAGGCTGGTGGTTCAAACCCACCAGGCACTCCTCAGAAGGAAGATTGGCAATCTACTTCCACAGTGATACCGCCTCAGAAACCCAAAGAGGGGTTGCTATGAATTGGATCTTACTCAACGACAGTGACTCTGTAACACTAAGGTCACCAAGAGTCAGGGCCAACTCAATGGCAACTAACAACAACAAATCAAGGGATCCATACTGGGTAGGATAAGATGAGAAACTTATTTCTAAAGCTGTCCCCATTTTCATGGCTTCATCTTCTACACTGACTACTACTCATCTGAAGGCTATTAGTCAAGAGGAACAGCAACTGGGGTAGATGCAGAACTTAATCTAGATATTCTTATCCTGAAAATGGCACTGGAGATCTTCCACCTGAAAACCAAGAGTTGGCCATGGACTTCTGGAATGGTCTCCAGCCAAGACTCTTCTTGTGTCTTTGCCATAAGAACCATAAACACTGGATTCTGTGTGCTAAGTGTAACTGGCCATCACTCACAAGGAAGAGCAATCTTGGGAAAGTGATAGAAACTGATATTGGTAGGATAAAACTAACTAGCTTTTTGGAAAAAAAAAAAATCTAATATTGAGGGCCAGCAGGCCTTTTTAGCTTTAACAGCTAAAAAAAATGTAGATGCACATAGATGCATTAGAATCCTTCTGGTTTTTCTCTTTTCTTTTTAGCTATCAATCATATCTAGTAGGACCAGGCAATGTTTCGTTCTGTCATACATGGGGTCGCCATGAGTTGGAGCTGGCAAGGCAGCAGATAACAATATCTACCAACAGATTTTTTAATTGAAACACACTTTTTAAATTCCTTGATCTCATACCCCCATGTTCATTCACAATTCCTCTGTTTCCTAGTTTGTATCCTGGATGGAATGATGGAGGCCAGAGGAAAGGTTCATGTTTCTAGATTGAGTTATGTTTTTGACATAAAGGGAATCAATTTTAATGATAAAGTCTGCCTCCCCAAAATGGGTTTGCATCTGAATAACCTGAAATTCCCACTGTTAATGCTGGAAACACTTTCTCTGATGTTATATCAGAAAGCCTGAGGGAAAGGCATTCATGAAAGGGTTTCTACCTTCTGAAGAATGATTATCAGCCACTATTGTTCCAAGATTGTGCCTGAGACACTTCTGCCATAACACCCTTATCCCAACACAGCATGCTACATTATATGGGATGCTTTCTTGTACAGATTTGCTTCTAGCTCAAACTACTGATGATGACAACGATGATTGTTTTCTTAAATTCTTACTAAGTGCGAGTTACTTTCCAGTGTCATTATGTGTATTACTTCGTTTACTTCCACAACAACCTATTACACTTTTACAGACAAACACCGATATAAAAGACTTAATTAGGCAAGGAAAGGTTTATATATGGAAGGAAACTTTCTTTGTTGGTTACCAGGGGTAGGAGGGGAGGGGAGGGGGCAATGCAAAAATAAAAATAAATAAATAAAAAGGGACTTCTCCAAAACAAGGCTCTCTGCTGGGATTGAATTTCAGTTTCTCTTTCCTTCTGGGCACAGGCTCACATGGCCCCACCCACACCTGTGAGCACACCACTGCTCAGTAATTGGCCCCACCCATTTATACCTCCATCACTTGAGATGGAGATTCCAATTTCCTTTTGCTTTTTCACTTTGCACACATCAACCAGGATTGCCCATCCAGCCCAGCTAAAAAGCAGAGCCATGCAGCCAGGGAGGCAGTTGCTCTTTGGCCATGGCTGCAACACAGGCCGTGATGCTTGTGACCATGGTGCTGGGCTTGGCTGGAGCAAGCCCTATCTTCACTTCCAAACACACCACAATCAGGAGGGGCTGCCACATTGGCAGGTTCAAGTCTCTATCGCCACGAGAGCTGGACGCCTTCAAAAAGGCCAAGGATGCGTTGGAAGAGTCACTCTTGCTGAAGCCCTGGAGCTGCAGCTCTCATCTCTTCCCCAGCACCTGGAACCTGAGGGAGCTTCAGGTATGGGAGCGCCCTGTGGCCTTGAAGGCTGAGCTGGCCCTGACGCTGAGTGTTCTGGAGGCTGTGGCCAACACGACGCTGGGGGACATCCTGGACCAGCCCCTTCACACACTGCGCTACATCCACTCTGAACTTCAGGCCTGTGTCCCAGCTCAGCCCACAGCAGGCCTCAGGCCTCGGGGCCGCCTCCACCGATGGCTGCACCGGCTCCGGGAGGCCCCCAAGAAGGAATCCCAAAGCTGCCTGGAGGCCTCTGTCACGTTCAACCTCTTCCGCCTCCTTGCACGGGACCTGAAGTGTGTTGTGAGTGGAGACCAGTGTGTCTGAGAACTGGACCAACCCCCAGCCCACCTAAGACCTCAGATTTTATTCATGCACCAAACTCCATTCCTGCCTTAATTTATTTCCTGCCCCTACCCTTATTTATGAAGCTGTAGCCCTACTATGACCCATAAAAATGTTTCTTTTTCTACTTTTGTACAATATGCATAAATAAATGCGAGAAGCAGAAAGAAAAAAAAAAAGGAGTCCATTAAACTTTCTAAGTTCACATAGGTCCAATCAACTTAGAGGGAATGTGTGGGAGTGGGTGTGGGGAGAAAAGGTCACTATGGGAAGAGGGTGGACACTACTAGTGAACAGTGAATGGAATGTTCCATTCCAGCCAGTTTGTAACAGAAGAGAAACGACAAACATATAAACCAACCAGTTGCCATTTAGTTGACTTCTCATATGTGTCAGGGTAGAACTATGTTCCATAGCCAAACACATAAAAACAACTAGAAATCTGACCCATATACTCCAGCCTTTCTGTGACTTTTGACAAGTATATCCTAAAATTGAGAATTTTCCTTTGGAAATTTGCAAATGTTTTTTGAATTTCCTTGGATGGCTGATTTTAAGGACAGATGATTCTGCTGATTGATTTTAAGATATACTCACATTATTACATAAATTCAGTGAGAGTAAACAGTCATGAGGTTTATAGCCCAGGTACCACTGTAATCCTTCAAAGTCTGATAACTGAGAATTTAATCTTGGGAAAATAGGCTTCCTCATTAGATGTCAGAACTTTGGAGCCTATCAGGGTATATTTGTGTGTGTTTATGTGTGTGTAAGAAGGAAGGAAGCCCATCCCTCAATAGTAGTGGTAGTGCAGTAATGTGAAAATGAAGGCTTACTATCCACCACCACCCCCTCTTCTCTTTTTCTGGCAAATCTTGAACACGATCTGTACATAATCTGGGCCAAGGTTTAGATATTCTTGCTTTCATCTGCCTTAACAAAAATGCTAGTTACTATGTATGCACATTTACATCTGGTCCCATCTTTATTCTGATTGCATGCAAAAACCCATAAAGGATGGTTTAGTCAATTAGGAATACATATCTCTTCCTTAACAGAATTCTTAACAAAGTTAACAAAGTTAATTGTTAAGGGTGAGGCTAAATGTGATGGTTTACGTTCTGTTTCAAAATAGCTAGGCCATGACTCTCAGTGGTTTAGCAGATGTGATGTAACTATTTTCCATTTTGTGATGTGATGTGAGCAGAGCCAATCAGTTGAGAGAGGAATTTCCTTGGGAGTGTGGCCTATATCAAATATATATGGATGTTCTGGCAAAGTGTGCCCTACCTACCTCAATCCTGCTTCTGACTCATCATCCTCAAATCCCAGTTCTTGAGATGTAAGCCAGCAGGTTGCCATCTGACCTGTGGACTTTGGGCTTTGCCAGCTCCTGCAGGCCTATGACCCAACAGCCTGCCATCTGATTTACCAGTTTTGGGTTCATCAGCCCCTGCAACCACGTGAGTCAGAGAAGTCCTCAGCCTGATGGCTGACCTACAAATTTAAGACTTGCAAGCCTCCACAACTGTGTGAACTCTTTGCTTGAAATAAATCTCTCTCTGTCTCTCTTATATCTCTATCTCTGTAACTGTATCTATATCTTTATCTATGCTTTACTGATTTTTCTCCTCTAGAGAACCCAGCCTGAGGTATTTGGTGCCAAGAGTGATTCTAGAGGAACAAAATCTTAAGGATGAGTTTTCTGAATTGGTTCTCAACTCAGAGTACACTTAAATACACTGGTGACTTTAATTCCAGTAAGGAAAAGGGCACTCCTAATCCATGGTGTGAGGTGGCAGTAGAAATACATAAAATATCACCAGCATCTGATCAAATATTTTTGACAAGCAAGGCCATGGGAGATTGTGTATTTGATGCCTTTAAGGATTTCTGTCAAACTGTGAAATATAAAGAAGCTAGTTGGTTGATCCTGCATTCACTAGACAAAGTGGCGAAAGGAAGAGTTGAGCTCAGAGCTTCAGGGTTACAATTCAAGCACTGCATAAAAGACCTGAAAGTTGCCACTCAAGCTCTGAAAAAAAGCCTTCTTTTCTTGCAACAACAGAGCTGATATTGCCAAAAACTAAACCTAGAGTCTTACCAAAAGAGTGGATGAATTATAATACTAATTGAATTTCCAGCCTTGAATAGTGTCTGAAGTTAAAGTGGAGGCATTGATTGCGAAGGAATGGGATCCTTAAACTTAGATAGGGACACACAGGCAGTAATCAGAAAGCTGGGGACACTGAGCCCCTCAATTCCACTGAATTACTCCTGCCAAGAGAACTATCTTTCTTACTCCTACCTGAAGAGATTACTCCATCTTTGTCTGATAAGCCACCCTCCTTAGTAAAACCATTGTCCCTTTCATGCCCATATGATGAGATTAACCCAGCTGTGGCTGAAGAGTCTGTTAGATATTTCCTGGGGTGGCACCTGGGGCATTGCCTGGGATATTACCTAAGGCAGATGCTTTGCAATACATTGTTGAATGTCCCCAGGACCCACCCCACAACCCTTTTTGCTTCTAGACTTTGTAACTGATTGTTGTTGACTCAATGCTGATTCAGAGTGACCCTGCAGGACAGAGTAGAATTGTCCTATAGGGTTTACAAGGCCGAAATCTTTACAGAAACAGACTGCCACATCTTTCTCCCGCAGAACAGCTAGTGAGTTCAAATCATCAACCTTTTGGTTAACAACCAAGAAGTGTGCCATCAATGCTCTTTCTTCTAGACCAAAACCTAGACTAAGTCTCAGAAAGCACCAAAAAGTGAAGTACAAAGTGTGACACAGAAAGAAGTATGCTACACAAAACAACTGCTTGATTTTTCTAATATATGCAAACAGAAACTTGGGGAATATGTGGCAATGACTGTTAAGATGTGGAATAATGGTGTAAGGAATATAAAGTTGTATCAGTCTCAGTTTATTGATATGGGTCCACTAAGCACAGATCTTTCATTTAATATTTCTGCTCAAGAGGTTAGAAAAAGATGTAATAGTTTATTTGGTTTGTTCACTGAAGCATGGATTAAGTGGTGTCCTACACTAAATCAAGTTGAAATGCTAGACTTTCTTTGGAATATTGTAGAAGAAAGTATGCAAAGACTTAGGGAAAATGGCATGTTAGAGTGAATTTATCAGGTTGGGCCCACAGGCCCACCCATGGAGCTCTGAGGACATACTTTTTACCACAACAGTGAGAAACAAATTTGTGAAAGGAGCACCAGCAGCCTTAAAAGACTGCTATGATTGATATTTTATGAGTCAGATTTGATAGTGGGAGCTTCCCTAACTGAATTAAGACACCCAATCCAATTGGTGGGGCACTTCATTGCCAAAGACAAGGTGGGAGTGGTTATCATAATGAACAGCAGACTTAACGCAGTAATCAGACTTAAAGCAGTAATCAGAATAGTCTTATTCATATGGAGTTATGGCATTGGCTACTTAGTCATGATGTAGCTAGGAATGAAACAGATGGGAAATCTTCTAAATATTTACTTGATTTGTACAAGCAGAACAATTCTAGGTCTAACTAATTAGTCAGTCTAACTTGAATCACCCAAATAGAGAGTCAGAGCCCCTCACGCAATTCCCAGACTTGAGCCAGTTTTCAGACTCACAACACACTGAATGAAGGGAAGTTGGGTCCTCTTGAGAAAGGATCCTACTAGATTGCCCAAAATTGATTCAGTTAATTCTCTCCCAGCCTTCCTTAAAGAGATCAATAACCTTTTACAAGAGTGACAGTTCACTGGGGAAATGGAAATAATCAGATTTGGGGGGTATTACTGGACACTGGCTCTGAAATGACACTAATTCCATGAGAACCAGAACATTACAGTGGCCTACAAGTCAGAGTTGGCGCATATGGAGGTCAGGTTGTTACTGGACTCTTAGCTCAGGTCAGTCTCACAGTGCATCCAGTGGGTCCCTAAACACATCCTGTAGTGATTTCTCCAGTTCCAGAATGCATAATTGGAACAGACATACTCAGTCACTAGCAGAACCCCCACAATGGATCCCTGATATGTGGAGTAAGGGCTATTATGGTAGGAAAAGACAAGTAGAAGCCATTAGAAGTGCTAGTGAAAAGAGTAAATCAAAAGCAATATTGCATACCTGGAGGGATTGCAGAGATCAGTGCCACCAAGGATTTAAAGGGCACAGGGGTAGTGATTCGCACCATATCCCAATTCATCCCACTTATTTGGCCTGTGCAAAAAATAGACGGATCTTGGAGAATGACAGTGGATTATAGTAAACTTAACCAGATGGTAACTCCAATTGCAGCTGCTATACCAGATTTGGCTTCACTGCTTTAGCAAATTAATACTTTTTCTGGTACCTGGGTATGCAGCTATCAAGCCAGCCAATGCCTTTTTCTCAATCCCCATTTCAAAGGAACACCAGAAGCAGTCTGTCTTCAGCTGACATGGCTATCACCTCCATGGTCTGACCTCAGGAGCCTATTATTTATCAAGTGACTTGAAAAGTGGCTAGTTTTGATCGGGGCCAGAACAAGAGAAGGCTCTGTTCTTCTGACAAGGTTCAAGATGCCATGCAAGCTTCTCTGCCACTTTGGCCATACAATCCAATTGATACCATGGTGCTTGAAGTGTCACTGGCAGACAGAGATGTTGTTTGGAGTCTTTCTCAGGCTCTTATTGGTGAATCATAGTATAAACCTTTGGGATTTTGAAGCAAAGCTCTTCCATCCTTTGCAGGTCCTACTCTATTTTTGAGAAACAGCTTTTAGCTTGTTATTGTACCTTACTAGAGACTGAACACTTAATCATGGACACCAAGTCACTATAAGGACTGAGCTGCCCATCATGAACTGGCATCTGACCCAAAGAGTCATAAAGAGTCATAAAGTGCATGCACAGCAGCACTCTATTATTAAATAGAATTGGTATATACAAGATCAGGCTTGAGCAGGACCTGAAGGCACAAGTAAGTTACATGAAGAA